CTGTGCAGATCCCAGGGCCCGCGCCACCCAGGAAGAGCTGGGGAAGTGATCAGAGCTGGGGGATCGAACCGGAGACTAGGGGAATGTTCAGGTCCCTGAACATTCCTCCAGTTCCCTTCCCTAGGTCCCCAATCTTTCCCCATGATGTGGGATGACAGCAGGCTGCCACTGCCAGCTGGAGATGGTGGCAGCTCTGGGCTATTTCCCTAGCTGGCAGCAGCAGCAGCCTACTGAAACCCTGCATGCAGATCCAGGGGCCATGCCCCCTCCTACCCCTAGGAAAAGCTGGGGGAATGATCAGAGAGCTGGGGAATCGAACCAGAAGCTCCAGCTGACAGGTGGATCTGTCCCAGCTCCGGGACAGCATACGGTGCCCTGCTGAGCTGCACTGCACCCATGCAATGGTGCAGCTGCTGCACTGGTGCCAGGTGGGGGAGGGGGCAATCTCCACTGCCCCCCACTGCTCTGTGCTGCACAGGGAAGGGTCCGCCATGAGTCCTCAGAGGCCCCAATTGCCACGGCCAGAGCCAGTGAGTATGGGGCTTTTTAAATTTTATTTATTTTAAGCTCTGTATTCACTGACTGCAGAGCATATGGATGACAGCAGGGTGTTGCTGCCGGCTGAGACCAGCACCAGCACTCGAATCTGCCCGGCGCAGCCCAAGCCACGTGCTGGGAAGGACCCAGTGCTGGCACTGACCCCAGCCAGCAGCACCAGCCTGCTGGCATCCCACACACAGATCTGGGGGCTCGCACTCCCCAGGAGGTCTGCAGGGCTGTGCCAAGTTCTTATGGGGGACATGGGCCCCTGGATTTATGTGCAGGATGACAGCATGTTACCGCTACCGGCAAGTGATACTAGTTTTGCTTTGAACATTTTGAGGTGCACTTTCAAAACCCCCCCTGCATTTATTTCCTTGAAACTTGGCAGGATTTATGACTCCAGGAGGGGCTACCATCTCTGCAATTTGCACCTGAGTCAGGCAAGAAATGACAAAGTTAAAGGCATTTTTGTGATTCCCCATTATAGCCTATGGTGGAAACACCTATACAGCGTCAAAACTCTGAAACAGATTCGGCCAAATCAAAATGGGAGTGTGATCCAAAATACTGAAACGAATCGCTGTCCCTCCAAAATGCCAAGTGTGAAACTTAAACAAAATATACCTGTTTCACACAGCCCTACAAAGCATGTGAAGGAGGGGAGATGACTTGAAAGAAAGCAAGGACCAGAAGAGCTGGCTGACACCAGATGTACGTCCTTCTTGGGGGTGGAGCAGAAGGTAAACTTCTGGATGCTGGATATCATACTGTGCCAGTGAATGCACCTTGCATACCACTGGGTATTTCAATTGGATATCGCCCTCAGCAGGCTACAGAATATAGTGTCTCCTGGTTCTTTACTTTTATTATGGTATGATTTAATCCATTCTAATACAGACCAATTAGAAAACAAAACAAAACACATTATGTATAAAATACATTTCTTTGAAAGAAAGCATAGAACAAAATCACCAAAAGCAATAGGTTCAAATATCCATAGGTATAAAATGTGAAAAATGTCAATCATTTCCTTTTTCATGTCCTTGTGACAAGGTATTTAGCAGAATTTGCAGATTTGTTGGAATCTGATATGGCCTTGAACTTGTAACCACTGAACTGTCAACCATGTGCCTTGGCATCCACTCCACTTCAACCCCCCAAAATTTCAATGAAAAACTACATTTCCACTTGATAGCCCTTCCTTAATATCACCATCCAGACTCAAAGTGTTAAATGTGTCCATCACTTACCTACTTTTCAAATGATTAAGATGAACCTGTAGATTGTTGTTGGCTTCTGTCTGCTCATCTAGAGATCGCTGCAGCTTTCGAATCTGATTTAACGAGTCATCGAGCTGAAAGCAAACAGACCCTGATTGGTTTCCAAATGTCTCAAAAAGATTTTCACCTTGAGTCTTACAGTGCACCAGGAATATCCAGTAATATTTGAAGCTCAATTAAAAAAAACAGTGCATATACGATATTACTACACCTGTATTAAAAATATAATAAGAGAATCAAACAGGAATAATGGTTCCTGATTTTTTCCCCTACTTCACCACACTGGGGAGGAAAAGGGATCTTTTTGTTCCAAAAAATATACTGCCTGTATGCAAAACACATTATAGGGGTCAACTCAGGTAACTGAAAATGTTAAATATTTGTAGATAGGTTTATAGAGAGAGTGGCAGTTCTAATTCTGTAATAGTTTTGTTCTGAATATAGGGTCCTTTCAGGACAATCTAGTCCATTTCTTAAGCCTTTTCTCCCAGATTAATTTTAGGAGCCTTAGCAATAAATCATCTTTGTCAATGATAACTTAACAACATCCCAGTGGCTTTTACTCTCTTAGCCTCTGATCAAGACAACATTCTCCTCAAACCACTGTGAAAGTCTTAATAGCTGAATTGGTACCCCTGTCTCATCTCCACAATAATTTTATAAACTCAAGGGCCTTCCATCATGATTTATTATTATTATTATTATTACATTTTGTGAAATAAAGACTAAGAGAATTGGATGGGTGCTTATTTAAGCTTTTACAGTTTAACATTCATAATTAGTTGGCTAACACTGTATTTTCTGTAACCTAGTTGCATTCCCTTCCTCACCCCCATCCCTCTAATGTTAGTCCCCCGCTCAGGCAATTTGTATTTCCCTACTGGCTTTGTCATCTTTTTGGATTCACAATCCTAAACATCTACTAATAAAATTTAATCTATCTGGAAAATAATCAACACCTAATTGCAAATATAAGACAGTCCATAACTCTAGCCCTCAACTCATAATTCTGCAAAGTCCCAAGAAAACAGTCGAGTTTGTAACCTTTTTGGGACCCAATAGCTCAATGCAGAAAATGAATTATAATTTTAAGTCCCTTCATCCAATCATCAGCTCTCTTTCATTTACACATGGAGAGCTCAGACTTGATAGTCTGTCAAGATCAACAATCATTATAGAATGGGGAATAGGCAGTTTCACAGGGTTTGCCTTTAAAAAGTTCAAAAAGTGCTGTAGCATCATAAGAATGTAAAAACTCATGTTTAGGGAACTCTAGTGCACACTTACTCATCCACACTAACTCACGCTAATCTTGGTTCCCCCTAGAAGACCCTAGGTCAACCTGCTTAACACATAATCAGCAAAGAGGACTACTTGTCTTTATCTACACTAGACTTTTAGAACCAGTTCATTAGCCAACCTATTCTAATGCCACCATGTAATTTTCTGTGCAGAAAATTCAGGTGCATTTAACTGGGCCCAGGAGCATGTCTACATATGCTCCCAGGTTGGAACCAAATTGAGCCCAACAGAAGCAGCTTAGCCCAGGCCTGTTCCTGCCTTGCTCTTCCCCCTGGCAGGGGGTACAGGGAGTCAGGCCTCAGCTCTAGGGAGTGGGGCAGGACTTGTCCCCAGCTCTGGGGGCAACCTCGAGCTCTGTGCTGCTCTGTCTCCAGATCCAGGGACAGCTCCTCCCTCACCCCCCGAAGCTTGGGTCTGTGCCACTCAGAACTGCCCAGGGACAACTCTTCCCTTCCAACAGTTGTGGCTCCCTGATGTTTGGGCTGACCAGGAGCAAATTGCTCAATATATACATGTGTTTGGTCCTATTAATGTAAAGCACCATTGGTTAGTACCTGCCAGTACTAGCCAATGAATGGTGCTTTGCACTAATCTACTACACAGTAATTATGATGCACATGTAAATGGTAATGCTTTATTGCACATTAGTTTAGTCTAATGCACAGTAAAGTGCATATGTAGATATGCCCAATGTTATTAATTTAACTGGGTCTATGCGCATTCATAAAGTTAAGTATGGGCTTAAGACCAGATCTGCATTAAGTGACAATACCCATGTACAACTAAAGAATGTCTTAAGTTTTATATTAGCAGTGTAACTGGCTAGAGGTTCATGGGCTGTTTGAGGAGGGGTAGAACCTTTGTTTCTCAAGTGGTGACACTTGTTAAGGTGGTTTGGGATTACTGGTCCTCACTCATATCCAACTCTTACTAATGACTCCATGTGCCACACCTTGGGCAACCACTTTCACCAGCAGGCTGAACTTAGTAAGGGAGGACAGTTATTGTCATTAAGAACTATCCTCTGATCATCACAGTGGCAGTTGTGGTGAAATAGGTTATTTTTCAATGACGAAGCTGGTGGATGAAGATGACAGTTACCATAACCACTGCCTTGTGGACTACCTTGGGAGAGGTGCAGGCTAAAGGAGTAAAATGGATTATCTTGGGAGAGGTGAAGGCTAAGGGACAGAAAATGTGCAGTGGAGCTCCCAAGGTGATTAGTAAATCATTCGGTCTTCTTTCTGGCACCTCCTACAACTTTCCTGGCCCTATATCTTATTGGTTCTACCTTTCCAGTGGATAAGTCGGCAAAGTCAAAAGGGTGATTCTGAGGCTTGGGCAAGTCCTGATCACCTGTCAAATACCAAGGCTTTTGCACCCTGGAGAGGTTACTCCAGTTTCACCAATGTATTGAAACAAATGGGTGTCAACAGATACCGGTCATAAGCCATGGATTGATCGATGTAGATCCAGGTGCCAGGGCTGTCTCTGACAGTGGAAGAGATCATCATGCATCATTAGAAAACTACTGCTCACCTCAAGCTGGACAGTCTCAAGCCAATAAGGTGTTTTTTTCACCCCAATCTGCTGCTTTAATGGGTTTTTGGAGTTTAGAGATTCAACTTGAAAGCAGACTGCTATCACACACCACCATCTACTCCAAGAATGCAAGGAAAAACCTTTCAATCCAAAAGATTGGAAGCTACAATGTACATACAATGACTTCAGGTATATCTGATGACCTCCAAACCATTTATGACACATGCAAAGCTGCAGTCATTGATGCAGAACTGCTGTGACTGAATGTTGATGTTGTTGGTGTACAAGAGACCAGACTACCAGGCAAGGATGCCATAAAGGGAAGAACTACACCTTTTTCTGGTGTGGGAAACAACTCAAAAAATCAGAGAGCATAGTGTTGGCTTTGGAGTAAAAAATAAGCTGTTTTTTCCAATAGAACCCTCAAACAAAGGCTTTGAAAGATGAATGGTGCTTCAACTCGATAGTGCCTCTGGTCCTGTCAGTCTCTTATGTGCTCTCACTGCTTCATTCAAATCAAAAGACTACTACTATGAACTTAGTGCCTTATAATCAATGTATTTCACCTAACAAAAAAATCCTCCTGCTCTGAGACTTCATTGCAAGGGTTGAAACCTCAACACAAAGTATCCTGGCGCCACCCATGATCTGGACACTGGTATCAACTTGACCTCATTCTCACTTGCTCATGAGAATTCTGTGACTGACTGTGATACTGATCTTTCAACCACTACAGTCAAATTGCATCCCAGGAAATTGTACAAGAGCAAGAAACTCTCCTTACTATGAATAAATGTCACACAACCAAAAGCTGAAGACACATCATCTCAGTTAATTAATTAAAACACTCTCTGGGGTACTAGCATATCGTAAGCCATGTAATACTGCTGAGGAGAAATGGGTTCAGCTCAAATGAGCCACCTATCAAACTGCCTTGGACTCCTGTGGTATCTTGCATCGCAGCTCAAATGACTGGTTTAATTAGAACTTGTCTGAAATGAACCCACTCACAGAAAAGAAATGGGCAGCTCTCCTTAAATATAAGTGTGACCCAAGCCACACCAACTTGCAGGCACTTTGAGAAATCCAGCAAAAGGTCAGACATACAGCAAGACGGTATGCAAATGATTATTGACCACAACTGTGCAAAAGTATCCAAAAAGCTGCTGAATGAGGCGACATGCAAGCAATGTACAGGGGCATCAGGAAAGCCCTCAGGTCTGTTCCAAGGAAGACCATCCTTCTAAAATCCTCCACAGGTGAAGTCATCAATGACTGCAATAAGCAGATGGATCGATGGATTGAACATTACTCAGAACTCTGCTCTTGTGAAAATGTGGTCTGTGACTTCACTCTTGGTGCACTTGAAGACCTCTCAACCCTGACAGCACTTGACCATGAACCTACCATAGACAAAGCAGAAAAAGCCATTTGATCACCTTGCTTGTGGTAAAGCCTCAGGTGCAGCTTGCATACTGGCTGAAGTTACTAAGTGCGGGAAATCCATCCTCCTCTTTCATCTGCATGAACTACTATGTATGTATGTGTTGGAAAGAAGGTGAAATGCAAAACTCTAGAACTCTTGGTTCAGAGATGATACCTTTTATTGGATCAACTAAGAAATCACAAAAAAACCCCAAAAAACCCAAACCAAAAAAAACCCTTTTTCTGCAAGCTTTCAGGCTCACATGCCCTTCATCAGGCTCAGGGAAAATTAAAGATGGTAAAAAGTCCTCATAGGTAGGAAATAAACTTCATTTTTGCACAGAGGAAGCTGAAGAAAGGAAAGAAGGTGAAGTTCCCCAAGATATGAAGGATGCAAGCATAGTCGCTTTGTACACAAAAAAAAAAAGGTGATATGAGTTAGTGCAATAACTATCGTGGTATATCCTTACTTTGCATCACTGGGAAACTATTTGCCAAAGTTGCCCTGCTAAGACTGCAGACCCTTGTGGACAGAGTCTACCCTGAGTCCCAATGTGGTTTCAGATCTGGTAGATCCATGACAGATATGATATTCTCCCTGAGACAGCTACAAGAAAAGTGCCATGAACGCAGGAAATCTATGTACATAGCATTTATTGATCTCACCAAAACTTTTGATCTTGTCAGCAGAGATGGCTTGTTCTGAATCCTGAAGAAGACTGGCTGCTCTCCTAAGCTCCTGAGAATCATGAAGTCCTTCTACATTGAGATGCAGGGAATGGTACTGTTAAATGGGTCATGTCTG